TCTCTGCATTAATTTTTTAATGCAGAAAACAATTTGGAATGAGATGGAAAATATGTATTAAATAAATTTTTCCCCTGGGCTCAATAGTCTTGAATATATTAATGTAAAAATAAAACAACAGATCTTTGGAAATTACTTCTATAATTCTCTCTAGACATCTGTGTAACCAATACATATCACTAAGCTTTAAGTGTCATGATGTTCTGTTGCCTAGATCTATTCTTTGTAATTTTGAGAAAGTCATACACTCTTTCTGAGTCTCAGTTTATGTATCTATGAAATGGAGATAATTACCATTATTTAACAAGGTTATTATAAAAAGTAAATTTAGAAATGTATGTGAAAAGACCTAGCATATTACCTTATACACAAGCGCTTAAAAAAATTTCACAGCGTCTGAAACTTTTCCACATAGCAAAAGACAGAGATACCAAATTCCACAATACATTTGTCACATCCATGTGTCCTCAGAGGAAAAATAACCGGAATAGGAATCAGAGGCTCTAGATACGGTATTTGCTCTGGCATGATTGCATATGTGATCTCAGTTGCTTCATCTACCTAGAAGATAAGCCCTCCCAGGAAGTCAGTCCACAAGAGTGTGGACTTTGGTCTTGTTCACTCATGTAGGCACTCAAAGCAGATTTGCTAAATAAGAAAGTCTGACAATGAAGGAGGTTGCAGTAAGTCATTGATTAAAGGCAGTGGCTCAGGGTAGACACGAGGTGGGAATGCTATGTGACTTTGAGCACACATAGTTCTTTATCCTCGCTGATTTTCAGTTTCCTAAACAGTAAAATGACACAATAATGGCATTCAGTTTTTGAAATTTATTTGAGGATTCCATGGAATAATACATCAAATGTGTAAGTGTTTCCTGCCACATAAAATTCTTAAAAGAGTGGACTTAAATTTTCATTATTATGACCACAACCTTGGTATTCTAACATTCATGAATTCCCTTACCACAGTTTCTAAAAACATGTGCTTACATGTCAGCACATTAATCAACTAAATAATGTTTTTCCTTTGCTGTTCATGTTGGGATGACCTTGCTGGTGCTGTAGACATTTGGAGAATTCCCACTCTCAATTTCCTTTTCCTGGATTGTACAAATTCTGCACTGCTGAAATCTAAATTCACTGACTAGACCTACAAAATATAATGCGAAAGCATCACGGTAGCCCAGGTTCAGAATTCATGGAGCCACTCTCACACTCTCCAAATTATGACAGAGCCATGGCTTTCATCAAAAGTTTAATTTCTGTTTGTTTATACAATTTATAAATGACAATAAATATAATAGATACAATTTACAAATGTCTCAGTACTTTGGCTTCCTCCTGTATTAACATGGGAATAGTCTTACTATTTGCGCAATTGTTTGTATTTGCATGTATTTTTAAGTAGCCCTTTGAGGCTTTCAAAAAGTTTTTATAGACTTTATATACTTAAAAGGAAACACAGATATACAAACACATATACACATAAAAATATGCTCACACATACAATCACAAACACAAAAGGGAACATGCCATGCCTAGTAAGATTAATTTGGGAACTAAAAAGTGTCCCTGGCAAGGTTTCTGATTTTGAGATCATATTCCTTTACTCTTTTCCTTCTTCTGCCTTAAAAGTTCAAGGCAAAAAAGCTCAATACTGTTATAAACACCTCACAAAATACTTGGGCTCTCCAACTTACTATTACCACTCTCATAATTGATCAGCTCATGAAAATCTTTGCTCTGTCATTCTCTTGCTGTTTGTTTGTGCTTGCAATTAGTAACATTCTTAATCCATGGTTTCCTTACAGGATGGTTTGTAGGCCCTTGGCTGATTAGATTAGTTCTACTTTAATTAAAAATAGATAATGTATTTGATAGACCAGGCACACATAAGTTGAAATACATGGGAAGATAAGAAAAGGAGGAAGATGCTTCGATTAAGTTTTCCTTTTTCCAGTTTATCTTACATACAAATATACCCCCAAGATCTTTTGACATACATATACACTTGGATCATCAGGTTATTACATACACCCATGATTATTAAGGCTGAAACTTTCTTATTTTTAGATTAATAATAAAACTAATTTGTCAAATCCTTTAAAAAATTCTTAATCTCTACTTTCATAGAACTGTGTAGGTACTTTGCATTTTAGTAGTTTACAGGTTAACAGTATAAAGTGTTCTGAAGCAGGAGATTAATGTTTGATTCCTACTAGAGAGCACAGAACTTGCATACAGAAAATAATAAACACTTTTGTTGTTTAATTAGTGAAGGAATTAATGGCTTTGCCCCACACGAACAGAAACACTAAACTCTAAATTTACTAATGCAGTTGCGCCTCATTATTGCAGGTACTGGTCCAATATGGCTGAATGAAGTGTATTGTTTTGGGAGAGAATCATCTATTGAAGAATGTAAAATTCGACAATGGGGGACAAGAACCTGTTCACATTCTGAAGATGCTGGAGTCACTTGCACTTTATAATGCACCATATTTTCATTCACAACTATGAAATCGCTGCTCAAAAATGATTTTATTACCTTCTTCCTGTAAAATCCATTTAATGAATATTTAAGAGATTAAGAATATTGCCCAAATAATATTTTTAAATTACAGGATTAACATATTGAAAACCTTCATAGTTACCATTTATATCTATATTTAAACCATTTTAACTTCTATAGGTTTTTAAATGGAATTTTCTAATATAATGACTTATATGTTGAATTGAACGTATTGAAGTCTATAGCTTCCAGATTACAAAGGCCAAGTGTAATAGAAATGCATAACAATAATTGACTCCAATTCATAATATGTTCATCAGGAGATTACAATTTTTTGCTCTTTTTGTCTCTGTAATCTATTTAGTTGATTTTAATTACTTTCTGAATAATAGAAGGATTCAGAAGATAGCTTTTGTGCCTAGACTGCAAAACCTGCAATCCACACATATTATTTTAAAAGAAGGATGTTATCCAACTATTAAGATATCTCAGTGTGCAATAACTTGTGTAGTAGATATCAATGTTAATGATATGTCTTGGCCACGATGGACTAGGGAGCTTATTTTTCTTGTCATGTATTGACAACTGTTTAATTGAATGATGAAGTAAATTGAAAGCAGAACGTATGAGAAAACTTACCATCACAATATTTGTCCAGATAATTGGTGGATCAAAAATGCCACTTGTTAACAGGAAGCTTAGTTTGTTATGTGTTTTAAATTGAATAATTAGCTTGTTACAATTCTAGGACATGGTGGTTAAAATGTAAAGCTCATTACTCCATTTTAACAAACAGAATGCAAACATCTTGAGTGCAGAAGAAAGAGAAATTTCAGTTTTTTGGAGTGTTTTATGAAGTCAGTCAACATTTACAACCGGGGGTGGGGGAGGCCTCTTTAGTCCTAAAGGGACAATAACTCAGAGCATGCCCCAAAAAGTAGCTTAGCAACTTTTTGTTGGTAGTCAACCCATCCCCAGGGCCACAGTGTAGAGTGTGAAAAGCTACGCTGAAACACAGTAATTCTACCCTGAAAGTGACTGTCTGCAGAAAGACCAATAGTTGATATTAAAGCCCAAATGAATTCAACCTCAGCCCTGAAAATAACAGAATTCTTCAAGTTTCCTATGACCAATTCACAAAAAAATGTAACTGTAAACTAGTACTATTATGGAATTACTCTACTGTTCTTTCTTTCATAGTGGCAAATGAAAGCATAAGCTTAAACACTCTTTCATATTCTGGAGTCTCACCACACATAGTAACCAAGTGGTAGATTCACAACTCTCCAACTTGAAAAGGCAAAAACTTACCTTGGAATTGGAATTATTGTAAACAGCCTACTGAAAATGCACTTTTATCATGTAACATTCTTCTACTTGTTTAACATTGCTGATTTTCTCTGGCAGCATAATTTTGTGGTTAAGAGAATGAATTCTGAATGTACACTTTCTGTCTCAAACCCTGGCTGTACTTTCAGCTAGTTATTAATTCTTTGTGTTCAATTCCACTATCTAGGTATTTTCTTCAAAAGGTAAATACAATGGTTTTTGAAAGAATGATGTGCATTATTAGCCTGTTTGGGATGTCTGAGATCAGTGCCTATGGGTTGTTAATACTTTATTGCTGTCTGGTATATGTGTGCTGATTTATCACTTATGCATAGTTATATCTTTAATAAGTAACCTAAAAATCCTTTTTGTATTTGAGAGAATCTATGAAGTTCAGTCCAGTCTAGAAAAGAACCTAATAGCACTAATACAAATTGAGGACTTAATTTACTTTGGAATGTTGAATTGCATTCACTCCATTAAAAAAACAGAAATTTGTGATTTGGTTTTTTCGAAAAAATAGCTCAGCTGACCAGAATGAGTGTATTCTACTTGTTGAGCCATCTAGCATCACATTAAATGCAAAATGTATATTTAAATAAAAGAAGAAGAAAAAAGAAAGAGCAAAGGGATGTAGAAAATGAAGAATAACCATTGATATCTAAGGGCCAAACATATTCCACCTAAATTATCTAAATAGCTTCAAATCAAAACTTTCCATTTTTTCAAAATGTATAGACCATCGTAGTTTGTACTCAAGTAAAGTATTACATTAAAGCATGTGCCTATTACAAATCATACACAGTTGACCCTTGAACCACACAGAGGTTGGGAGCACTGACCCCCTGCACAGTGAAAAATCCACATATAACTTTTGACTCCCCAAAAAGTTACCCACTAAGAGCCCGCGGGTGACCAGAATCTTTACCAATAACATAAATAGTCAATTAACACATTTTGTATTACTAATAATGTAGTCAATTAACACATTTTGTATTACTAATAATGTAGTCAATTAACACATTTTATATGCATGATGTACTGTATTATGACAATAAAATAGAGAAAAGAAAATATTAAGAAAATCATGAGGAAGAGAAATGTATTTACTATTAATCAAGTGGAAGTGAACCATCATAAATGTCTTCATCCTTTACTGTTGTTTTCATATTGAATAGGCTGAGAAGGAGAAAGATGGGATTTG